AATTAAATTTTTTTTTTTTTTTTTTTTTTTTTTTTTTTTTATTCTTTAAAATACAATATTTTTTTTAAATACTATTTTCACTAGTTAGTATTATATTTGAAAGTTTGCATCAAATAGGATGAAAATTAAATTTAATAAAAACTTTTCATATATAAACATATATATGAATATATTTTAATTATTTTTTTTTTATTAGATTTTTAAAATATATATGAAAAAATTAATTCTTTTAATAATTCTTCTATGAAAATAAAGAAAAAAATGATGAAACTAAAATATTTTTTTTTACGTGAAGACTAAAATATAAATACTTAAGTAAAAATAAAACTGAAAACTATAGATTTATGATCTTAATTACATTTTTTCTACTATTTATAAAAGAATATTTAGATTTCTATTAATCTTAAAAATTTCTTTATATATGAAAATATTTAAAAATTGGCGGAATATCCATTTAAAATAAATTTTTTATAAATATTAAAGATAATATTCTTTTTTTTTATAAAAAATTTTTAAGTTAAAATTTTTTGATCATTTAAAAAAAATTGATAAAATAAAAAATTGAAGACTTTTTCTCAAAAAAAAAAAAAAAAAAAAAAAAAAAAAAAAAAAATATTTATAAAAAATGAAAAATGATGGAATTACAAAAAATAAATCGCTTAAAATTTTAGTATTATTTTATGTAATAATTATCTACTTGAATTTAAAAATAAACTGTGATACTTTGAATAAACAAAATAAAATTGAAAAAAACAACTTAGATATATATAAATCAGTAATTATTGATGCAGGATCAACTGGAACAAGAATTCATATTTATAACTATAAAATAGAAAATAATAATGAAGATATAAAAATTTTCATTCCTTCTATAAGTCATAAAGCATCTCCTGGATTAGTTTATATGTTAAATAATTATTTTTCAGGTGATGAAATAAATTTTTATGATTATTTTAAGAAAATCAAAGATTTTATATACGAAAATGTTGAAAAAGAAGAGCGATCAAACACCGTTATATTATTTAGAGCATCTGGTGGGTTTAGGTTATTAAGTATAAGTAAATCAGAGAAATACATTAACTTTCTTAAAGATTATTTGTATAATAATTTTAATGAATTTTTGTTAATTGATGAATTATTAATAAAAGTATTAAGTGGAAAAGAAGAAGCTATTTTATCTTTTATATCAATATATTCTCTTCTAGAAAAATCTATACATAGCCCCATAATATTTTCTAATGATAATAAAAATAGTGGAAGTGAAAAACATAATGTAGATCTAAGTAATGATATTAATGATAATAAAGAAATTAATGTTATAAATGATGATAACAATAAATATGAAAACAACAATAACGATAGCATTGGGGTAATAGAAATAGGAGGAGCTTCAGCTCAAATTGTGATAAAAATTCCATTATCTAAAATGAATGATGATATTTTAAATTTATTTAATTATAAACATAAGGATAATAAAAAAAATTCTATTATTGAAGAAAATTATAAAAATAAAAACATAGTAAAAATTAAATTATTTCGTAAAAATATTTTTTTATATTGCAAAAGTTACTTAGTACTAGGAAGACAAAATGCAATGAAAACTTACTTGCATTATGTTGTTCACAAAAATAAAAAAAACAAAAAATTAAATAAATTTATTCCTATTCCGTGTTTCCCTAAGAATTTCAAATTTTATATTAGCAATTTATTTAAAACATCCATTGAAGAGAATATAGATGAATATGATGAAAAAAAAATATTAAAAAAAAATGAATATATAGGAATTGGTACAGGAGACTTAAATTTATGTAGAAAAGAAATACAAATAATTTTAAATTATTCAGAAATTGATAATTTGCCTTTTAGATTAAAAAAATTTATAAAATTATATGCAATTGAAAATTTTCATCATTTTGCAACTGTAATAAAATAAACAATAAAAAAAAAAAAAAAAGAAAAAATCCAAAATTATTTATTTAATTAATTTTGTATTTATATGAAAATAAGTATATGCATGTGAAAAAAAAAAAAAAAAAAAAAAAACAATATTTTTCTTTTTCTTTTTTTATTAGGATATCCTTAATATTTCAGAAAATTTTAATCCATTATTAATTAACACAAATATGTATTTAAAAAAAGCTGAAGAATTGTGCCCTCTTACTGTAGAGGAAATTAGAAAATTGGTTAACCCTAATGCAAATATTGAAAAGGCTCAAACATCTTGTTTCGGGTAAGAATTTATCACATTTCTCATTAAATTTAACAGTATATTTATTTTATATTTTTTTTTTTTTTTTTCTTTTTTTTTTTTTTTGTGTGCGTGTCTTAAAAATATATGCTAATTAATCATTTTTTAAATTAATCTTAATCATAATTGTAATATTTCTTTATTTTTCTCAATAGATTAGTATTTTTATATGAGTTTCTACGACATATTTTTAAGATTGATAATGCAATATCATTTTATTCTACAAATTACGTAATTAAAAAAAAAAAAAAAAAATAATAATACTTAAATATATATTGTATTTTAACAAAATTTATAATTTTGGTGATGTTTTTTAATTTTTTAGATAAATAACACTATGATAACATGGACTATAGCAGTTTTATTGATGGAAATTCCACCATATCTTGATTTAATTAAAAAAAAGAAAAAAATAAATTATGACAATGATGAACTTTAATCTTAAAGCAATCCTTAATATTTATATATATAATATGTTTTTATCTTAACTTTTTTTTTTTTTTTTTTTTTTTTTTTTTTCTGAACTTTTCTATTTTTTTAATTTGTTTTTGTCACTTTAATTCAAAAAAAGAAATATTATAGCAATTACCTTTTTTAGATTCATAAAAAAAGAAATAATTCCTTTATAATTACTTTAAATAGTATTATATCCTATTTAGACCTACTTTTAAAAATATTTCTTATATACAAATTTGAAATAATATTCATAAGATATGCATACTAAAAATGGATAAGTTAGCCTACATATAAATATGAAGTTTGACACATTTTTAAAAAAAATTTAAGATTCTTATTTATTTTCTTATTTTGTTTAATGTTTTAATTCGGAATAATTTTATTTTTGTATTTTTCTTCCAAATTAAATTTCTTTTATTATTTTTTTAGATTTTTTATATATTTGTGTTTTTCTTTTAAAATTTTTTTTAATAAAAGATGAAATATTTTATTTTATAAAATATTTAGTCTATATTTCCATAAATACATAAATGAATTTCTATTTTTCATTCTTATGAATTTGTTATTGCTAAACTCTTATTTTTGTGCTTTCATTTTTCTTTTGTATATGCAAAAAGTATATATTTTATTTTATTTTATTTTATTTTTTTTTTATTAATAAATTTTATAATACATAAAAAAATTATATTGAAATTAATTAATTATATAAAGTATATATGAGCATGGTTATTTCTCATATGTTATAAAAAATTGAGGTGAAATCGTTTCCAATATTTTATATCATATAGATATTTAAAAAATAATTTTCAATAAAAAATAAATTAAAAAAAAAATTGTACAGTAAAATAGTTAATTCAACTATAAGTACTAGTTTACCTATAAAAAATTAAAAATATTTTATTTATATTTAATTTCATGCATAAAAAAAAAAAAAAAAAAAAAACTAAAGAGAGATATAAATAATAATATATGTACAATTACCTATGTTTATGAGAGAATTAAAACATTCACTAAACATATGAAAATATTAAAAAAGATTAAAAAATTAAAATAAAGGAATATAGAAGAAAAAGAAAAACAAAAGAAGTTTATAATTTCTTTCTATAAAAGCTTATTAGTGCATAAATATAAGAAATTGTTAAATTTATCTAATTCGCTAATTTTACATAATATGTAATTATATGTATGAACACTATTTTTGCTTTAAATGATTCCCTGTAATTATAATTTTTTTGAAATACTTATTAAAATATTTTTTTATAAAATCATATGCATTTGAATATTTGTAAAGTTAAATTATTTAAAGAAAAATATGAAAAATATATAATAAAAAAAAAATAATAATTGGGAAACTTTTAGTACAACTTAGTTGCGCTTTCTTTACATGCATTTTAAAATAAAATTGTTTGTACTTTTGTGCTATTCTAAAAATTGTCTTAATTATTCTTTTTTTTTTTCATTATTACATATAGCTTTTTAAGAAATTATTATTTTCTCTATATAGAAAAAACTTTATTCAATATAGAAAAATTATATATTATTAACAATGGAATTCTATAAATTTCAAGAATTTTTTTTTGTTTATTTCATTTCTGTTAGCGTATTGGCTTATTTATATGTTTTACTAAAATTTTGACTTAACAATTTTATAACATAAAAGAAACTAATATTTAAAAATTTTAATTAGTAAAAATAGTATTTTCCTAAAGTTTATCTTATAAAATACAATACAAAAAAAAAGAATAAAATAAATTAACTACATTTTTTTTGCATAATTTATCTGTATCCGTCTTTAGTTAGGAATATCCATTTCTCATAAAATATTTATTGCATGTCAATACTTTTTTTCCCATTTTTAAAGAAATATTTATCATTTTTTTTTTTTTTTCTTAAATACTATAAAAGGTTAATGCTTTTTTTTTCTTTTTTTTTTTATAACAATATTTTTGTTTTAAATATAATGTGTTATTTCTTAATTTTTTTTATTTAATAATGAATTATATAAACTTTTATATATTTAAATGTATATAAACATATACTAAGGTTTTTTTTATTTTTAGAAATTACGTGCAACTTTGTAGTAAAGAATCTAACATACAATTGCAAATTTTGAATTGATTTTTTATTCCTAAAATTTTATAACAAATATTAGTGTAATGCATGTATATCTTTATCAAATTTTTTCATTTTTCATTTTTTTTTTTTAATTATTTTTACAAATTAAATATATAATTCATTAATAAATGCAAGTTTTTCAAAACTTTTATAATTTTAAATACGTTATCAATTATATATA